TCTTCAGCAATTTGAAAAAAAAATGTAAAGTGGCATCTTCCTCCAAGGTCTAAAACAGCAGTTCCTAATCTGTGGTATGCATACCACCAGTGGTACACAGGCAACCTGTCAGTGGTACGCATTAACAGATTTATTGTATTTACTCTATATGACAAAAATTTGCTGGTGGTACTTAAGGTGGTATTGTTTTAAATTGGTGGTGTGAAATCTGTCAGAGTTTGGGAATTGCTGGTCTAGAATGTTGGAAATAGACTTGGACCTGCAAGAGAGAGAAATTAATGGGCAAAGGACAGAAGAATCACTCAAGATTACCCAATACATTTATCATACAACTGTATAGTTTGTATGCATGTTTGATATATCTATTCTTACATTAAAAAAAAGAGAGACAGAAAAACTTGCAGTGAAGGTTGCATTTTCTGTCATCGCAATTAAAATTTAGGAAGACACAAGTTAACTCAAAGTTCACGTGAGCCTCAGTCTTTTCTTGCATACCTTATCATCCTAGCATTACACTATGGTTATTCCTTTTGATCCCAAGTGGTTAGCTTAAAATCAGGGTCTTGAAGGCTGTTTCCTTTAGGGGCAAAATTAATGATGTAGCTGGATACTTCATTATTGAAGTTCTGTTTGCAAAAAAAGCACACAAAGTGCTATTTCCACCAACAGCAGGAGACAAGTTCTTTCTTTACAAGTGTCTTTCTAGTTATCTCTAGAGGCCATGTCTATGCAAGATGCTGCTGCGCAGTAGCGTTGGGAGGGCACTAACTGTGATGCAACACTACTGCGCAATAGTAACAAGCTACTGCACAGTAGCTCGTTGCAACTGCATAGTAGCGTCAGAAAAAATTGTGTGGGGTTACTGCACAGTCATTTAGTACTTGGTTATGCAAGTACTAATTGACTGCACAGTAACAACTGCACAATCCACCACTCGTGCAGATGTGGCCACTTGGCCCAAAGACCCCTACCTTAGTTCTTTTTCTTAACGGTCACACCACTATTAGATTTATGTTTGCTTCTGGTGCATCCTTGCTTCCATTTTTGTTTCCACTACGGGTATTTCAGTATACAAATGTGGGCAGTAATATCTATTATTTCAGCTATCTATTCCACAAAGTAGCTTGATTATTTATTAGGAATATATTGCTAATATAAGGGGCAATAGATGTAGCCACCCACCTAAATAAGGTTTAGCCTAATTGTCAGCATAATATTACCCAAGAGAAATTAGGAGGCAGAGGGCAGAACTAGTAAGATTACACAATAAGCCACAGGATAATGTAACACAGTTATCATCCAGCTGTATAACTTATACGTGTGTAGATTACCGTAAAACGAGTACCTTATACTCCTCAACTTCACAGCAAACTCAACAGCCTCATCTAAGGGAAATCATCTGTGGATATATGTATAAAGGTTGGCCTGTAATGTGTAATTTGCAAATGATTAACATTTGAGGTTAGAGTTAATATTGCATATTTGAATTTGAATCTGGTTGATCATGTTAGAAATCAGTGTAGAGAGTATTTGAGTGTGTTTGCATATTAGGGTGGCAAAGGTGCTGGATTAAATCAGTGGGGATAGTAATATTGGTTTTCTGGTTTGCCTACTGATAGCTTGGATTATTAATGATTGGTTTGATGGGTTAATTCAATTTATAATTAGCAAATATATCTTAGAGAACTTCTTTGTATTGCAACTTCTCTGTTTTTTCGAGATGTATGGTGTAAAGGAAACATTTTCAGAAGTAACCACTGATTTTTATTTTTATTTTATCTGGAGGTGTTAGAGCTGTGCAGCTGTTACTGCTTACGACAGACTGGATCTACTCTGTGCAGCTCCTGGACCGGTGGGCGAGGAGAACTGTGGATGCTAGACAAATCATTCCAATTTATAGGCTTTTCCTGTGCTACTGCTGTGAACCAGCAGACCATCAAAATCCTCAGGAATGAAGCATCATATTTTATCATTTTCTTTCTTTCTTCCAAAAAAATTGAAGAAATTCGATATAAATAGGTAAAAAAGGTTGCTCAGAATTCACTGAAACACTCAGATATCAGGAAGTACAGCAATTAATGTTACCCTGCCCCCTTGTGTTATTTTGCAGTTACCTGCCTTCTTACTGTAAATCCTGAATTATGTATGACTCTGAAAAGGATATATCGGACACAAGATCTGTCAATAAAGATATATTGGATGATTAGTCATGATAATTGTGTGAATAAAAATGAAATAATACAACTATACATCAAAATGTATAGAGCTGCAAAATATATAAAATGTAGTCTGTGTGTAATTAAATGGTACTATACTTCACAACACACTGGGGAAGGGTGATCTAGTTAAAGCTACATGCGTAACCAACAGGACCTGCTAATGGGCATGAGAGTAAGGCAGAAGTTAAAGCTATGCAGTGCACCTGTCTGTGTGCTAACTCCAACACTTTCTGGCTTTTGAATGCTTAACTAAGCATCTTAAATTTGGCCCATCCTGTACATTTTCATACAATAAAGCTTTCATGAACGCAAGCACTAATACTGAGGTTTACACAAATAGAAAAACATCCAGTGAATAAAGAGTTTTTTCTTGGAATAACCAAACATTCTTTTTAATGCCTGAAACCTTGTCATAGAGCCGTAAGAGGCTGGAAGTGAGACCGGTTATGAACAAAATGGACTTGTCAAAGCTGAGATGCAAAAAAGCACCTGGAGATACCTGAAGAACAGCAGCTCTCTGTTATAAATGTTCTTTTCCCTTGACATAACCTGTTCTTTTCTTTAAATGACCTGATTTGCAAATGTGTAAGTGCATGCTCCACTATGCTTACACGGGCAGTCCTATTTGGAGGTGATGAGCCCAGGGCCAGAGTGGCCTCATATACCTCACTGAAGTGAATGGTTTTGCAAGACTAAGGAGTTTCAAGGCTTTCAAGCTGATAAGCTTCCTTCCAACTATGCTTTTCCTGGCGTCACTGCATGGCAGTGCCCTTCAGACCCTTGGCTTCAAAACCTGCTACTGCATTGAGACAGGGGATGGCAATGGGCACTTGCAGGTTACCTGCTTCCCCACAGAGGGCCAACTTAGAAGAGACTATAGGAAACGAGGGTTGGAAGGGACCTCAGGAGGTCATCTAGTCCAACCCCCTGCTCAGAGTAGGACAGGCCTGTCCCCCATTATCTCATCCCAGCCAGGCCTTTCTCTACCCTGGTCTTAAAAACCTCGAAGGATGGAGATTCCACCGCCTCTCTCCATAACCCGTTCCAGTGCTTCACCACCCTCCTCGTGAGAAAGATTTTTCTAACATTCAACCGAAGCCTTCTTTGGGCTCAGCAGCTGTATCTAGCCAGGATAGAGATTTCACAACATCCCTGGGTAATCTGTTCCAGTGTTTTACTACCCTCCTAGTGACAAAATTCTTCTTACCATCCAGCCTAAACTTCTTGCTGCAAATTGAAACCATTGCTCCTTGTTCTGCCACCAATGACAACAGAGCCTCTCTGGCACTGGCCATGTGGAGGGGGGGCTTGAGGGTGCACGTGCACCCCCTGAGATTGGTGGTGCACCCCCTGACAGAAGCTCCACTGGGCAGTTGCTGCTCGCCACCTCTCCCCTTGCTGCCGACACTGCTGGCGGCATTTGGGGGTGGTTGCCAACCGCCGGCTGGTGCTCGCCACCGCTGACACCGCTGCCTGTGGGAGCATCCCACTTCCCACTGTCACGCTGCTGCCTGCCCCAGCGTTCATGCTCCCTGGAACCCCTTTTGGGGAGTTGAAGTCTGCTATCAAACCCTTCCTTGGCCTTCTTTTCTCCAGGCTGAAAAAGCCCAGGTCCATGAATGCCACATGCCCCCAGCAGCTGGGGGAGCACGGTGAGCTCTGGCAGGCGGTGGTGGCTGGCAGCAGGGTTGTCCGTGGGGGTTGGCGAGCACTGGCAGCATCGGTGCATGGCCACACACAGAGGGTGCACGTGCACCAGCGTGCACCCCCTGCACGTCCCCAGTGCCCAGGTCCCTCAGCCTCTCTTCACAAGGCAGCCCAGGAGGTAGCTGGAAAGACCCCGGGGGGCTGAGGCAGTCAAAGGCCCAGCTCTCGAAGGGTAACTTCCCAGCCACACCTGGGGCCGAGGCAGGGCGGAGACCTGGGGCTGCCCCCGCCCGCGGGGCCCGTTCAGGCTGCCGGAACTTTTCTCGCCTCGGCAGCGCCTGGCAAAGTTTGTGAGAGGCGCGGGGAGCCCGGGCCCGGAGCGGCGGCGGCAAGGGGCAGGTCTCCCCGCCCGGCAGCACGGCGGCAGCGGCCGCCCGGTCCTCGCCCTCT